TGCTCCACAGGGAGCTGGCTTCAGGCACCAGGCCTGTTGGGAGACTAGCTCTGTGTTACAAAGTCTGGAAACACGACACGGAAGACTTGGCAACACCAACCCTGACATATTGGAGTCCCTTGCAGACGACCGCAGTGCCTGGAGACAGCCAGTCAGGTCATGCATCCACAGCAGTGACCAAGAGGAGGAATGACGGCTGGGAGTACAGAGAGAAGAAACGCCATGTGCATCTGCAGCAGTATAATCAGATGCTTTCATCTTCCCCACTGCAACGTGTCTCTCTCACATCAGTCTCTACAGCCACGAGCAGACGCTGCACCTCTCCCAATGGTTTTTCACCTCTGAAGGCGCACTCTTCCATCGTCTGCCAAGACAGAGGGATGCTAACAGGTGAGGTGAACTGGTCTTCCTAACCACCTTCAGCAGAATTAACAAACAACCGCTCTCAGAATCATTTTGGAGCAGTTAAACTGCTGTAAAGCGGATTGTGCAGACGTGGTCTTAAGTTCCCAGCACTTTATCTCGCCTAGCTCAGTTGGTAGAGCGTGAGACTTAATCCCAGGGATGTGGGGTTTGAGCCCCATGTTGGACAAAAAGATACCTGGTGTTATATAAGAAAAAACTGATCCTTTTTCCCTTATGGGAAAATAACACGAGGCCAACCAGAGAATATTAAGAAGCAAAGCAGCTAGTAAGCATGATCCTTATTAAACTGTTGTAACAGGGTCCCTCACTCAGGGAGGGAGAGGAACCTAGAACAATGGTGTGCAAGCTCTTATAGAGACATTTGAAAATCGCCTCCCCTGTAGCTCAAGACCACCACAACATCATACATACATCACTGAAGGGGCGGTATACAGCAGAAAACCTGTCTGCCAGGATACCTGATAACGGCCACTGATTGCTTTTACCTGGACATCCTGGCCACTCTCTCTTGTGATGGTAAATACTGTTCCTGATCCAGGTCACAGGCTCACCCTATTCATACACAGACACACCCTTAAGACAGGATTTGTGAGGGAAGAGACAATGGGGAGGCTTTCCCATTTCCTTCCTCCTTTCAGAGAAACATTTGAGGTCAATTTGGGAAAAGTCAAAATGGTTTCGGGATTGTTCTCCTGTACTATTTCAGACACGTAGTTTATATATTAGAATTCCTATAACAATGGGTTGCAGGGGGTTCGGCTAGATGACCCCTGCGGTCCCTTCCAACTCTACAATGCTATGGTTCTACTCTGCGCGGCTTGTGGAGAGCAGGGGCATCTTGAAGTGATTTAGGTGCAGGGTGTGGACTGGCTCCGTTCCGGGCCCACATCCTTCCAACGGCTCAGCTCCTTTTTAACACCTGCGCGCGTGCGTAGCTGGGAGAGGCTCCGACCGCAGCGCGGCTGAGGCAGCAGCCTCACAAAGCCTAATTATGTGGCTGAGGAGCGTCACGCCGCCGCTGCCGGCCTCCCCGCCTCAGGGGAGAGGAGTCCTCGGACTACGTAGCCGCCCGACGACGCTCCCTCGCCGGCGCCAACGGTGGCGGCTAAAGGTCGGGACGGAGAGGCGGGAAGCAGGGCGGGCCGCTCGACAAAGGAGGCGCGCATGCGCGGCCGCGAGGAGGACCACCGCTCTGCGCGCGCGATGCCTGCCGGGAAACGTGCAGCTGCAGGCCGGATCCGAGGCTCCTCCTTCTCCTCCACTCCCGTCTCCATGGTAACCGCTCGCCTCTTCCGCCTCGCCGTGGAGGCGCTTCACGTGACCTGTTCTCTTCCCACCCCCGAAGCTGGGGAAGTCACGTGATGTTTGGATTATTATTTTTTTTGCTCCTTCCAACCTGAGCAAAGCTGTTTCCGGGTCAATACAGGACGAGGCGGCTGGACGGGTAGCCTAAAAGCGGTTGGGGTCCCGGTGAGGAAGAGGGGGAGGGGGGACGGTGCAATGGTTTCAGTCAGGAGTAGGGTGGGGGGGGGTGTTGGAGAATGTCACCCCCACCTCTACCAGCTTCCCGTCAGGGCAGGCAGGAAGGCCCGACACGGAGAGGCAGGGGTTAAAAACCTGACTGGAAGAGGTTGCTGAGGTGCGAGGAGCCTCCATGTTCAGAGGCAGTCTACCTCTAAGCATTGGGGGGGGGCGGTCACCTTTGTCCCTTGCTTTGGAGTCCCTCCTCCCCCGGGGCATTTGGCGTGCCAACTGTTGTTAAGCAGCGGGGGGAGGGGTTGCGTGTTGCCTGGTATAAATAATTAGAAATAGTTAGAGGTAATCTTCTTCTGAAGTACTTAAATGTAGGAGTCAAACGAGAAGCGTGAGGGTGGCGGTGCTGCCTTCCTGGAATGATCAGGCTGGTTGGAACAAGACGCTGGAACAACATACCGTATTTAAGTAAGATGGTACCTGACTGGTTGCTTTCAGAAACAGGATATTGAACTAGGCGGACATTTGGCCTGATCCAGCAGCGCCCCTAGGATTTTAAGAGCAGGAACGGTTGGGTGGCTAGGGTGACTAGATGTCATTAGGGACAAACCTTCTGCCGTAAAACAACAACAAGAAAGCGATGTGGGTTTGCACAAGTTGTAAGGCTATAGCATCGGGGCAGCTGAGGACCACAGTGACAGAAAAAGCACGGTGGATCAGAGTGAGCTGATGAAGGCACAGTGCTGAGGCTGGTGGGGCAAACTTCCACTGGCAAAAATTGCTTCTGTTTGAATTGTAGAGTTGGAAGGGACCCAGAGCGCCATCTGGTCCAAACCCTTGCAATACAGGAATCTCAACTAGAGCATGCATAACAGATGGCCATCTAACCACTGCTTAAAAACCTCCTAGGACAGAGAGTCCACCACCTCCCGAGCTAGTCTGTTTCACTGTTGAGCAGCTCTTACTGTCAGAAAGTTCTTGCTGATGTTTAGCTTGAGATAGTCACAACTTTCATTTTACAATGCGTGTAGCCAAAAAGAACACATTTGCCTTCTGAGAAAGAAGGCAATTCCTCTCTCCCATTTGCACACACCATTGTGCCCAGTAGGTGGTTGTGGTAAGCAGAGGTTGAATAGCCATCTGTCATGGATGCTTTAGTTGAGACTCCTGCATGGCAAGGGGTTGGTCTAGATGACCCTTGGGGTCCCTTCCAATTCTAGAATTCTTTGATTCTCTGATTAATTGGGGGAAGACCTAAACTTGACACTTCTGGCACTGGCATAGCTTGATTATGTTAGGGTTTTTCTAAGGCAAAAACCCTCTGATATTCATTAGTTTTGTCAATTTTGAGGTTTGGAGAGGGCTGGTTATGAGATTACTTATTGTTGATCTATTGACTCACAAAAGCCGTTTCAGATTACAGGCTGATATGCCTGCTCTTTGCACAGCATAGACTTTAGATTTAAAAATGGCGACTCATTCAAGGACACACGTTGCATGTCCTTGGCTGACCTGAAAAAAGCTCTTCTAGGTGTGAAGTTGGTTTTTTGTTTTGATTTTTGGTATTAGTTCTTAAACCTTAATGCAGAACTAGCAAATTAGAAGGACTGTGGTGCTTTAGGTATTAATCATTTAAATATGTTTTTCTGCATTTCTAGTAGTCATATGGCTGTCATTATCCATTCCATCACAGAGCAAACAAATGGTGCATGTTTAGTTAATATCCAGCTTTTAGGAGTATGCTTCTGCTGTAATGGAATTTACTGAAACAGTAATTTAAAACAGGAAATTATTGGTACATTACTTCCAAATATGAAAGGTGCTATCAGGAAGTCTGCACTTTTCTCTTCAAGAAAAAGGAACATAAAAGTTTTCCCAGCTATATCAGTCCACGGTCCACCTTCCTAGTCAAGCATTCTGTTTCTAACCCTGGGCTCTTTACTGCTTTTTTCTAGTGTCTGGGTGTTAGGGTAGGGGCAGTACCACCAGTGGAGGACACATTGTGTTCCTCCTGGGTTAGTTTGTCTACCTTTGGTCCCTACCCTGCACTCAGCTCTCACCCGTGGCTCCTAGAAGCTGTCAGCATGTGACAGTAGCCACACTCCAGGGACTGCTTTGACTGGCCGGCTAAACCAGAGGAGGGTTAGCTGATGGGTCTCAAACCCTTGTGAGTTAGGGACTTCCCCCTTCATGGCGGTTTGAGTGGATGAGACCAAGAGTGGGTCCATTGATCAAGAAGGCAGTTTCTGCATGTGCTGTAGAGGGAAGTGAGGAGCCGGTGGGGTTCGTCAACCTGGGAAAGTAGCCCATGTAGGAGAAGGAAGACTGATCCTAAACCTCTGCTGCCTTGCGGGATGTATTTGGGAGATGAAAAGACTTAGGGATAAGCCCTACAGAATGGAATCCCTAAGACGGTTGGTTGAATGGCACCATGTGTCTACCTAGCCCAGCATTGCCTATGGTAACATATGACGTGACTTGTATGGAAACTTCCGATGAAAATAAATCATAAGTAGCAAGACTGAAAATAACTTTTTTTGCACAGCTAGCAGCTTCCTCTGTTAAATAGTCAATGCCAGCCTTCATTTCAGTTGCTAAGCTTCACCAAAAAAAAAAGTTCCAAGGAAAGCAGAGCAATGCATTTGGCACCAGCTTGGCTGCAGGAGTTGTTGGAAGGCAGCGTACAACACACCATCCAACTGGCTTAGGGACTCTGCTCTGCATATGTGTAGGGCTTACTCCTTTTTCTTCTGAAGATGTCGTGCAAAGCAATGGAGGTTTGGGATCAGTGTTTTCTGTCTACCTTCTGAGGTTGATAAGCCCTATCTGCTCCTCAGTTCCCTCTACAGCATGTGCAAAAACTGCCTTCTTTATCGTTGGTCAAGAGATCTTGTCTGCTCAATCCACCAGAGCTTATCTTTGCATGCAGGGAAAATTCCTAATTCACCAAGGATTTTGAGACCCATTGGCTACTCTCATCTGGTTTAGCAAGCCAGTCAAAGTCATTTCCCGGGGTGTGGCTGCTGAAACATGCTGACAGCTTCTAGGAGCCACAGGTGAGAGCTGAGTGCAGGGTGGGGACCAAAAGTGGACAAACAACCCCAGAAGAAGCACAATGTGTCCCCCACCAGATGTACTATCCCTCCCCTAATGCACCATACATACCTTGGAAGGTGTATTGTAGCTGAATAATGCAAGAAGGTACTTCTGCTCATGGTATATACTTTAGCAATATGATAAACCTTTTGGTATATTTGTAGTATGTATAGATAAGTCATAATGGAAGATTTTCCAAAGACTCCACTTATTGGGAGTAATAGCTCAGCTCCATTAAGTCAAGGGCATGTCTTTTTCTTGTAGTTTAGAGCTTCTGATTGAGGACATTTTATTTTTTTCAGTTGAATCCTGACTCTTGGGAAAGAGGAACCAGGAAAATCTCCTCAGTAGTGTTATAGTGTCCTTTGGAAAAACTGAAGAAATAATTTGCTTCTGATTGACTTTTTCATTTGCATTCTCCATCTTTAAAGCTGAGGCCTGTCTCTTTAATAATTTCTGCTTCTCAAAGTGCAAGTGGCTTTAAGTTTGCTTCTTTTCAGGGGGGAAAGTACACTTGGATAAAAGGTTACTCAGCTCCCATGTATGGATTTATTGTCACTTGAGTTTTTGTGATAAAATTACTCCAGTAAGCCTGATGATCAGTACAATATACCTTTCTAAATCTCAGAAGCGGCAGTTGGTGTTCGACCTATAGAACCCTTTCACTTTTAATAACTCCTCCGTAAAGTTTCTTGATTTTTATTTCTGTGTTCTTTTCACTAAAACAGGCTGCAGTAAATTCCTGTGTGTATGTAGAATACTAGCTTCTTAGAGGAGAAACGTTTGAGTTTCAGGAACATTTTGTTTGATGTTGTAGTGTGTGGTAGGCAGCTGCTAATATTCTTTTATACCAGAAAAGATGCAATTGGGATATGACCTATCTACCACTCTGCTGGAAGAACTTCCTAATTTGGGGCTATCAAATATAAGCACCAAGGAATCCTTACCAAGGCTACATCATTGGTAAGGAAATGAGGCCTTTAATAGGAAAACAGGCTAAACCAACACTTGGCAGTGATTGCATAGTAGTGTTCTCTGCCTAAGAGCCCTGCTGGGTCAGGCCAAAAGCTCATGTACTTCAGCATCCTGTTTTCCACTTTGGCTAACCAGATGCATCCAGGAAGTCAACACGCATGGCTTGAAGGCCGTTTTCTTGCTGAAGGCCCCTGCAGCACAATACTGGTGACACACTCATCTTCCATGAATTTCACTTAAGCTAGTGCCCATTCCTTCTTCCAAGCAGCATTCAAAATTCACCAGGTGTATTTTGCATCCGGCTATGGCCACTTGCAACCAAGTGAAGAAGCCTGGGCACCAGGATGGCTCCTGACATCTCCACCATCTGGAGACGCATGCCTGGGGATCCTTGGATCTTGACTGTTTTCACACACACTAGCAGCACACCCTGTAGAATTCTACCTGTTATATTATATCTGCACAATCAGAATGAATTTCAGGAACCAAAAAGTCCTATTGCAAAACATGACTTTTGATCTGTCAGGCCTAGATTATATATTTTAAGGTTCTAACACTGCTTCCAAGAAGTGTATGGCTGGCTTCTTTTGAAAACAGAAACCTAGATCAAATGAACCTTAGTTTGATCCAGAAAGGCTGCTATTATGGGTTGTATCCAATGCAGTGCTATTTTAAAGTCACTTAGCAGTATATTTGTCATCACTGGTGAAAGGTTTTGTGCCAGAGGAATGTTGTGCAATCTGTAATTCTTGCATTGGATTCCGCTTGCTTAGGGGCCCTTTTGCTGGCAGGCAGAGAACATTGGATACAGCCCTGTTCTTTTAGAAGAGAGAATCAAATTGTTAGGTTTTTCTCAAAGCAAATAATGTTGCTTACAGTCTTCCTTTTCTCACCCACATTTCACCCCCCCCCCAAAAAAAAAAACCCCTATGCAGTGAAATACATGGACATGTGATGTTTCTCCTCTGAAAACATGGAGTGGGTTCTCCTGAATGCCATCTGCTGAGAGTCACATCTGTTAATTTAGGGAGAGCTGATGCTGAGACCGGTAAGTAACCCCTTGAAATAGGCTTATAGTGGACTGTAAATGTATTCTGCTTGGTTAGTCCTAAGGTGTACCCATTTATGTGTCTTTTTGACTACTGTGGTTCATAATTGCCAAATTTTAAAATATGCACACAACCCCAAAGGGATCAGGTAGCATGTCATGTAAACATTCTCTGCCTAGGTGGGCAAGTAGCCTAACCAGGTAAAAAGGAGCTTCCTAGGTTTCATCCCTGAGCGAGGCTGATGGGAACGTACAGCAGTGAGTGAGTTGATAACCTTTGTTGAATGGGTTTGTTTGGCTCACAGGCAGGGGCCAACAGATCTTTGATTAGCCAGAACCTGTGGTTGACAGGATCCTTCCTTTCCTCCAGTGCGGCGGCAAACAGAGTCTTATATCTAGCATCATACAAAGTTTCAGGACACCTCTGGAGTGCAGCATAATCTTAAGAGGACATCTCTCAGCCAGCTCCAAACTTTGAAGGAGGGCTTGAGTGTGGCTGTCTGCCGCATTCTTGAACTGCTTGGAACGCCTCCCAAGTGCTTCCCAGAGGTGAGGGAGACACTTGCCAGCACACTTGTGTTTGTGCACCCGTGGCCCCTTGTCAATTATATCTCACATTTCCTTTATTTCTTACAGTACACAGCTGGGGGAATTCCTGACAGCCAATCCTAAACAGACAGAACGGCTGCTTGCTTGTGTTTTTCCAATTGGTCTCGCTTAAGTAGGAGAATGGATCCTGATATTCGCTGCTACAAAGTGTAATTTGGTTTTGTTTGTGTGTCTCCCACCCCCGAACTCTAGAGTTTCAGGAAGGGACCATGGATCTGCCCAGTGGGAGAAGTTTCATGCAAGTTCTCTGTGAGAAATACAGCCCCGAAAACTTCCCGTACCGTCGTGGTCCTGGAATGGGCGTTCATGTCCCAGCTACACCTCAGGGCTCACCTATGAAAGGTACAATTTCTGGCTGCATCTTGACTTATGTAGGAGTGTGATTCTCTAGTCTGACGTTCCAAGGGACATGGTTGAAAAGTTGTTTGAGATGCAGTTCCTTATTCAATCTTTCTTCCAATTATATGAATGGGGGAGTGGCTAAACGTAGAACTAGTTTTCTTTCTATAACGCAAACTCCCCCCCCCACACACACACACAACATACCATGCAGCGTAATTTTAAAGTGCTGTCAGGTTGATTTGTATCGCAACCATCCCCAAAGGGAGAAGAACGAGGAAATTATTTGGGTGGAAATGATGGTAACTGAGTTTGACAGAAAAGAGCAGAAATAAGTTGAGTCAGTCAAGGACAGAATGCACCATATGTCACTCAAAATGAACCACAATGGAGTCACCTTAACAAAAACTTCCAGGCTAGTCCTCCAAAGTCTTCATTTGTGAGCCTAGAAATGATAAAAAGGTCACCTTATGCATGAACCTATTCCGTCTTCTAACATGCTGAAATAATACTGTCTATGTTGTAGCAGATTGCCCATCTCTTATTTGATGTGTATCCCTCAAACCGCCCCCTCCCCTCTGCTCAGCAGCTCCCAAAATGCACAGTGGATCTTACACTTGCCCTGTTCACCTTCTTACTCATTATGTTGTTGTTCACATAGAAGCACTTTAACATACAGGGAGGTAAGAGCTTACTACATGATTCTATCTTTGATGTTGCCATCGAGCGTATTCAGCAAACAGTCTTTTTGAATGTTCTTGCTGATTTCCCCTCTTCAGTGGTTGTCATAATTCACCGTCTCTGACATCTTAAATGGGGTTTGGGATCCTGTTCAGAATAACCACCTGGTTGCATAATACAATTTTTGCGCATATTGGACTCATGATGAACTCATCATGTCGCAAAAGCTGGATCCTGAGCTGGGGTATGCAATCAGGTTGTCTCATGTTTGGGACTGTTACACTCAGTCTTCAGAAGTACACATGTCATGATTTTGCACCAAAATCAAAATTTATTTATTTATTTAAAAGCATTTATATACTGCTTAGTATTTCAAAAATATCGTTAAGTGGTTACAGTCTGAAAAACAGGACAATATATCATTAAAACAGAAACACAACCTAAAAACGGGAGAACCACAAAATTGAAAGCACATGAAAACAAATTTGGACGATTCAGACAAATGAGCCTCATAAGAAATGCCTATTTACAGAGTGGCATCTGACTCAGTCTTACTCAGAGAACTATTGAAATCAATTATTTTGTTATTGTTATTATTATTATTATTATTTATATACCGCCCTATACCCACAGGTCTCAGGGTGGTTCACAGAATGAAATCAGATTATAAAACCACAAAATACATGATCAAAATAAAAACAACAACAAGACCCCCCAACACACTATAAAAGGGCATAGGATGTCAATCAAATCAGCCAAAGGCCTAGTTAAAAAGGAATGTTTTTGCCTGGCGCTTAAAGGTGCATAAATGAAGGTGCCAGGCAAACTTCCCTGGGGAGAGCATTCCACTGGGACTGAAGTCAGGCATGACTAAAACTCATTGGTTTCAATGGGTCCACTCTGCCCTAGACAGCAACCACAGATTTGGGTTTGTTTGTTTGTTTGTTTGTTTGTTTGTTTGTTTTTATTTTAAGACATCTTCCTTCCACCAAGTGAGAGCTGAGGCAATTCATGGCATGTCAATAAAACATCATGAAAGCAGCTCTTGATAACAAAAAATAACTGACCCATATACACATGAATGGCAATCAGGATGAATTTTTGGTGTACCCTTACTGGGAATTCCAGGTGCTGAACCATATGTGATTTTGCAGTCCTTGACATGGGGACATTCTGAATAAAGTAGTAGTCTTCAACATTTTCATGTCTGGTGACCACTGTTAATCTCAACCTACATATGTAACCCACTTAATTCTTAACTGTAGTTATTGGCTACATCTGTCTTTTCCCCCTTCTCTCTCTCTCTCTCTCTCTCTCTCTCTCTCTCTCCTCCTCCTCCTCCTCCTCCTCCTCATTCCAGAACTTAGAAATGGTGTCACCAGTATGAGCAGCCTTAGCTCTGAGCAGAACCCAGTTTTGGGTCATCAGCCATCTTTTTTTGAAGGCCAGTGAACTAAGTGACTTTGGGACAGTCTCAGTGTTATTGTTACCTATGGCTGTCTATAAAATGTCTGCAGGGAAGAAAAGCACCTGAAGGCCTGAATCTTTGTAGCAAGTGAATTATCACATATACAGTGGTACCTCGGGTTAAGTACTTAATTCGTTCCGGAGGTCCGTTCTTAACCTGAAACTGTTCTTAACCTAAAGTGCCACTTTAGCTAATGAGGCCTCCTGCTGCCGCCGCGCCTGAAGCAAAGTTCTTAACCTGAAGCACTATTTCTGGGTTAACGGAGTCTGTAACCTAAAGCGTATGTAACCTGAAGCTTATGTAACCCGAGGTACCACTGTAGTTGACATAAACCAGTCTGATGAGGCAAAATTGCTTAGGAATGTGATGCATTGCCCATTGCTTCACTGAGCAATTTTTTTCACCAGTTACCGTGTGATCTGACTTAGTTTCCCCCAGCTTGTACAGGCGATTCTTTTCATCTGCTGAAATGAGACCACCCCACAAATTAATGCGCTGTCATTCCTGCCTTTCCAGATCGTCTCAACCTCCCAAGTGTGCTGGTGTTGAACAGCTGTGGAATAACCTGTGCAGGGGATGAGAATGAGATCGCTGCCTTCTGTGCTCATGTGTCCGAACTGGATCTGTCTGACAATAAACTAGAAGACTGGCATGAGGTAGAGGAGATTGTTTGAACAGTTACATGGACAGCTGCTTTTGCTGCAGGCAGATTTGGCTCTTCCGGGTGGATTCTAACTCACATTTGGAAATTCCAGCTCAGCTTTATTGTGATGGACCCAAAGCTTGTTATCTGGGAGGGTTTTGAACTTCTCCCGCCTTCCATTCCTTCTCCCAACTTCCCTGGAGCATGAGCTTCCCCTTCCTGAATCAGTAAGGCCTACTCTAACTTCCATCTCTCAGCTCATGAGTCTCTTTAGGGCACCCAACACCAGTCTACTGCCCTGTGTGGCTCCTGCTAAGCTGCCACAGTTTCACCTACCATATGGGAGATAAAAAGGTAAAGGGACCCCTGACCATTAGGTCCAGTCGTGGCCGACTGGGGTTGCGGTGCTCATCTCGCTTTATTGGCCGAGGGAGCCGGCATATAGCTTCCGGGTCATGTGGCCAGCATGACTAAGCCGCTTCTGGCGAACCAGAGCAGCGCACGGAAACATCGTTTACCTTCCCGCCAGAGCGGTACCTATTTATCTACTTGCACTTTGACGTGCTTTCGAACTGCTAGGTTGGCAGGAGCAGGGCACCGAGCAACGGGAGCTCACACTGTCACGGGGATTTGAACCGCGACCTTCTGATTGGCAAGCCCTAGGCTCTGTGGTTTAACCCACAGCGTCACCCGCGTCACTTATATGGGAGATAGTTGCCCTCTAACTTGGTACCTGTTCAATTTCTCTGGGGTTCCATCTGGCTTGTGAAACATACCTGGCTGTTACCAGCATATGGAAAGATGGTTTCAAAGAGGTCATTCAGCTTCATGAATTCCTTACTAGCAGTATACTTGAACCAGTGGGCAAGAGGGGTTGGAAGCTAACATTGCTGCACCCTCTTATCCAACATTCTGAAAGCCCTTAATTGTCGCTGTCTTTCCCCACCCCACCCCTGACCCTTGAGAAATTTGAATCATGCCTACTTGGACCTACGTGGAGTTCTGAATGTGCTCCAGTCAATAGTACGCCAGTCTTGTGGTCATGACCGTCCAGCGGAATGGCCATGTTAGTTTGTTGCAGTGAAAGCAACAAAGATTGCATTCAAACATCAGCACATAAAGGCCTGAGATCCTGGGCTCATGTGCTCCATCTTCCCCCTTCCCTCAGACACAAGAGAGGAGATGGTGGCAAAGTGCAGTTTACCGTTTTGTCTGGACCTGACAAATTACGTTTTTATGTGAAAAAGGAATCAATTTGTGATGTGGGGGCTTGGTTTGTAAGCAAACTATGGTTTGTGCAAACCTTAGTTTGTCAGGTCTGAAAATTCTGCTTGTCTTGTAAGAACGTAAGAGCAGCCCAGCATCCCACATCACTTCCCACAGTGGTCAACCAGGTATCCCTGGGAAGCCACAAGCCGTACACCAAGGTGCCCTCTCCCATGGTTCAGAGCATGATCGTCAAGATCGGACGACACAGGAGGTGTGGGAAGTCAAAGACAGACATGACGGAAGTGGCTCACTGCCACTGTCTTTCCACATCCACCAGACAGTGTGTACATATTCTAATCCTGGAGACCAGAGGCTGTGGTACATGTGCTCACATAAGGCATTTGGGGGAATGTGTATATGTGAGGATGTGGGTCATTTGCTGCCATTCATGCTATATGTTGGCAAACCTTAGGAGTCACAGCCCTTCAAGGCCTGAAACTTAGGACTGGCAGGGGCCTTTCAAGGGACATTTCCAAGTCTGGCAAGCCAAAAGTCTTTTAACTAGCAAAGCCAGCAATTGAATCTTGGACTGAGATGTCTGCATTGCAGGAGGTTGGACTCAATGACCCTTGGGGTCCCTTCCCACTCTACAGCTTTGTTATTCCATGACTGTTCCATGTGCAGATCAGCTGCTTTGCCACTGAGCTGTGGGTACATTCCACTTGAAATGACACCCTGGTTCTCTGTTGGTTCTAAAACAATCCCGACTACATAGCCTCTGTCATTGATGCCCCAGTTGTTTTATCATGTCAGGACCCACCTACCACGAAAACTGACTTGCCTAATTGTAGACTTGAGGTTTGTTCCCTATTCTTTGAGCCAGTACTACTAACGACAATTCGTTCAGTTTTGTACCACATCTCTTTGCAGTCTATTTTGTCAAATGAGGTTGATTTTGGTTGCAAGAGAGAGTGAAGTAGGAAAGGAAGTTTGTAGCAGCAACTCATGGTAGGGATGCAGAGCCAGAGACAATATGAGATGATGGTCCATTACCTGAAGGCTGCAGCCTTCTGACCACAGAACTGCTTGTTGTTTTTTTTCAAACTGAAGCCCTAAGAGATCTAGGAATTTGCTTTGTGGAGTGGGGCAGAATGAAAACTCAGAATCTCTGGAATAAAAGTTCTTTCCTGGAAATGGAATTCAGTGCATGCAAGATGGCAGAAACAACGAATAACCCTTGGTGAAATAGCCCTTTTGACCAATGTTGGCTCTTGAGAGGCATTTTGTTCCCCCTTTAGCTGTCATTCAAGTAGATTTTATGAAGCCGGCCAGCGATCTGGTTTTTCCCCTTATCACAGATAAAAAAAAAAGAGTGTAATTAAATGAAGCATTGAGGTGAACAAGCAATTAGCCAATCAATCTAGATCTGCGAATAGCAGCGGTATGAATTACAGATAACTATCTTGAATGCTGTTAGAATTCGAATCATTCTTTGAGTCAGTGAGCCGTACTGGGAGTTTGGGTCCCATCCTGACCTGTCCTTATCCCAGCCCCCATGGACAGAATATTTGAGATTTGATTACTGCCTGATAATGCTTCTCTTTCTCCTTTTTTTCTTCTTCTCTCTCCGCTCAGGTCAGTAAAATTGTGTCAAACGTCCCCCACCTGGAGTTTCTGAACCTGAGCTCCAACCCTCTGAATCTGTCGGTCTTAGAGAGGACGTGTGCTGGGTCTTTTGCCGGCATTCGGAAACTTGTGCTCAACAACAGCAAAGCATCCTGGGAAACGGTCCATACAATACTGCAAGAATTGCCAGAGTAAGCCTGGAGCAGCAAGGGCAGGTGCCCTTTACGGACAGATTGGCGTATCATACAGCAAGTAACAGAAGTTTGTGCATTGGATCAGAAGCCCCCAGTTCAAAGCTTGCTGCAGCTGTGAAATTCATTTAGGAAAAGAGCTATAGGGTTGCTAGTCCTACTTAGAGTAGACCCATTGAAGTTAATGGACATAACTAACCTAGTAGCTCAAAAAGTTGTACTAGTCCTCTTGCCCCCATGTAGCTCTTGTTAGTCATGCCGGCTTGAGTTGATTGCAACCTGTTGCTATCAGTCGGGCGAGTGGCTGTTCCAAAGCCTGTCATTGTTAGCAGCCTGTTGCATTTATGATAAATAGTTTGCATGTATGCCATATTTTAGAATGTTCAGAGAGCTTCAGCTGCATTAATCCCTACAGTAACTCAGTAAGGTAGAGCAGGATGCTGAGCTGTTTTAACCTTAGACAAAAGAGGTGGTTAATTTGCAAGCTCATGTAGAGGTGAAGATTTGAACCAGGACTTCCTGATATAGAAGAAAGTCTTCTTCTCTGCTCCCTACGTAGGGCCGTTCTACACAGTGCCATGTAATAAGGTGGTAGAGTGGGTTGAACCACTTTGAAGTGCAGGTAGGAGTCTATGTATATGAATGCAACAAATTCCCTGCAAGTAGCTCTTCAGCATAGGCAAAGTGCAGGACTAGAACTTTTCTCTCTGATGTGCTACCTTTCTGCTTTCAGGGATTTTATTTTTATGTGGTGGTGAGCATTCAGAAGTACTTGTGCTCTGCCTGTCACCCGAACAGTCCACAACCTCATTCTGCTGTATTTCAAAGGATTTGTGCCACGTAATGTTATTTTCAATATTGCACTAACTCTGAACTGCCAAGTGCACTGATGCAAAGCCCTGCCCCCCAATCTTGATTTGCAAATGGTGGTGGTCCGGTGTAAATATATTCTTTTCTTCTGAGATGCTATTCAATTATCAAAACCAAAAAACTTGATAATGGAGATGCTGTCCTTTGAAGGGGTGGCCAGATGGCTGGCTGACAGCTTCTGGTTAAAGATCTCCTTGCAAAAATTTTTCATAAAAATCTAGATGTCTGGTTGCAACATTCTGGATGGGCTCCAACTCATTCCTCCCTATACATGCCCCCGGCCTGTGGATTGTGGTGGGGCAGGGTTGTTTTTTATTCATTACTGCTTGTTTTTTCTTGGTAGCAGGACATTTCAACACACTGAAGTGAGAGAGTCTGGGGCAGTGTGTGGGGAGATTAGGCTGACATTCCTGATGTGCAAACTTTCTACGTTGCAAGGCTTGTTTTGTTTTGCTCCCAGTTTTCCTGCCTTCAGCCTAACACATGACAGTTCAGGAAAACAACATTGCCACTTCATTCTGCTGCATGTCTATAACTTATTTCTTTCTTTTATATATATATATATAATTTTTTATTAGTTTTTTTAACATATCATTTTCAACAGTAATTAAACATACTTTTACATCTTATTCAAATTTTTGACTTCCATCAATCCTGTCTGAAAATTCTCCAGTCTAATCTCTCAGTATGCATTTCTTATCTTCCCTATTACATTTCAAACTCATTACCAGTATCTCTTATCTTTTTCTACTTTGTAACACTTCGTATATTTCTCCTTACAAAACTTCTTGTAGTCCTACTAGCGTAATTTGTTAATTACAGTTGCTCTTCAAATAATTCATATACTTCTTTCAATCTTCTGTAAATCTCTGGGCCCGCAGGTTTCAAATCCTTCCTGTCATTTTGTCCAATTCTGCATAGTCCATTAATTTCGTCTGCCATTCTTCTTTCGTCGGAATTTCTTCTTGTTTCCATTTCTGGGCTAACAATACTCTTGCCGCAGTTGTTGCATATAAAAACAATTTAACATCTTGCCTATTAATGTCCTGACCTATAATACCAAGTAAAAATGCTTCTGGTTTTTTCAAAAAAATGTATATTTCAACTTATAACTTATTTCTATTTCACTAGAAGCCTTGGACATCTAATAACATTTAATTTTTTCTTCTTGCAGCTTGGAGGAACTCTTCCTGTGCCTTAACGACTATAAAACAGTGTCTTGTTCTCCAGTTTGTTGCCACTCTCTCAAGCTGCTCCACATAACTGACAATAATCTCAAAGACTGGACTGAAATCCGAAAGTTGGGGATAATGTTTCCATCACTGGACACGCTGGTTCTGGCCAATAACTACCTGACAGCCATTGAAGACTCAGAAGATTCTCTGGCAAGGCTGTTTCCACACTTGCGATCCATCAGTCTGCACAAGTCAGGTGAGGTCCCCAGTGAAACATGCCCTTCTGGATCCAGATTTAAGACTTGCTATAAATCTTTCTAACATCCATACACACTTCAAATCTTGCAATTGAATGTGCTGCCTCTATCAATATGATCTTGTTAATATGGTAATGAGAAGGAAGGAAGCATTGGTCTGTGCCCACATTTAAATTTTATTTTGGTTTTATTGCTGACTCCTAAACTACACCTCATCACTTATTTCTCAGTGGACCAGTGTTCTTCAGCATCTGCCCGTGCAGTTTCCTAAAGCATGAAGTTACTGTACTGTGAAATACTATCTTGTTTACCATTGATGTATTAGCCTAGTTGACTGGCTCTTGATTGTTTTTTTGTGATCATGGACAAGGAGCGATGGGAGAGGGTATTGGGAGATACAAGCTTTTTAGAAAAATGAGGATGGCACATCTCATTAGAATTCAAATTCATTTTTTCCATTCCTCAAGCCCTATGGGTCAGGAGTGGGGCACTCCAGATGTTGCTGAACTACAATTCCCATCAGCCCCAGCAAGCATGGCCATTGGCCAAGGGATGCTGGGAGTTGTAGTTGTGCAGCATCTGAAAGGCAAAAGATTCCCTGTACCTAGTTTAGCTTCTTCTTACATTTTTACTGCTTGTGTGTGTATGAGAGGGTGAGGGGGACACCAAAGGGATTTTCTGCTTGATTCACTAGCATGTCTTGGTTTGCCTCTGTGACAGGCTAGGTCCATGTATTTGGCAAACTGAGGCAGTCATGAAATACTAGAATCCTGAGAGGATAGAACAGTCTTCATCACATCAGACTGAGATACGTTTACATGGGTGAACATTCAAAAAATGTTCTGCCACGTCCACCCAAAAATGGAAGCAGTCCAATCCACTGTGTTACCTGATTTGACTGCATCCATAGACGAGGCTTGAGAGTAATTTATAATTCTGATTGCACATGTACTGGTGGAATGTCAACGTCTCCTTGTTTTCCCCAGTCAATTTTATGCACAGACACAAGAACACCCAATTATTTTGATTTGCTCCTTTCCGACGCCTTCCTTCCCTGAACACTCCCTTTCTTTAAAGCAGGTCTGCAGTGCTGGGGAGACATCGACAAACTCAATTCTTTTCCCAAGCTCGAGGAAGTGAGGTTACTGGGCATTCCTCTCCTTCAGCCATACACCAATGAGGAGCGCAGGAAGCTGGTAATAGCCAGGTCTGCAGATGTTTTTTGTTGTTCTTCTTGGTTGATTCTGGGTTAATGCAGCCAAAATAGTGTGGCCTTTAAACCTTTTGATGCCTCTCTGGGCTCCATTGGGAGGAAGGGCCAGATACAAAATTAATGAATGAATAAAGCAAGCATGAATGGCTCAGGTATTTGAGGAGGTAGAGTGTGGGAGTAGCTGTGGGAAACAGCCTGTATGTGGAGTTGACAACTGTTGAGTCGTATGAACTCTGAACTCTTTACTCCTGGAGGGAAGATAGAAGCAGAAAATAATATTCTCTTGTGGGTGTTAAATTATTCCACATATTGCGAGGAGCTGCCACCTTGCTTCTAAACATGCCAAAATACCATCCTTGCATCCAAACTGAAGGAACTATGGGGAAATCAGACCAACAGTAAGCTTTCTGAGTCGAAGCTGTTACCTCAGTTTTGGTTAAGTGCACTGCTGAGTACCAGAGGAAGGGAGTTGTCCTGGCTTGGTTGGGGATTGGGCAATAGAATCCTTACTCATCAAAATCTTTTGAGGGGGAGCCCCATCCATCAGCATGCCTTGTAGTGTTCTCACTTGTCAAATGCAGCTTTCTTGAGTGCTAATTATTTTCAAGCGCTCAGCAGGTCTTTTTCCGTAAATGCAGTTCTCTGTTCCGAACTCAGCCTCAGTTCTGGGGCACAGTGTTGATCTACAAGCCTTATTCAGGTTCCTGAACTCTTGTGGCTAGCTGTGCTCTTTTTAAGAATGTTTGGAATTATTGGGAATAAGTCTGATGAAAGAATTATCCCATGTGTGCTACAAGCTAGCAACATAGGCTAGGTGCTGCTGAAAAGAACTTCAGTGTATGTATTCTTTGCATAAAATCTGTCACCTTGGCTAAACATGTTCATGGCTAAAACTCTGCACTTGGAACTTAAAATTACCATATTTTTCCCCTATAGGGCGCACCAGCCCATAGGGCACACCTAGTTTTTTTGGGGGGGGAATAAAGGGGGATTTATTCCCCCCCCCCAGGCGCGGGGCTGGGGCGGGGGAAGCCCGAGCTTCCCCAGCCCCCAGAACAGGCTGCCATCCGCAAGCCTAGGGAGCCCGGCGGGAACACCCGCCAAGCTCCCAGGGCATGCGGATATCTGCCCGAAGCCTGGAGAGCGAGAGGGGTCGGTGCGCACCGACCCCTCTCACTCTCCAGGCTTCAGCAAAAGCCTGCATTCGCCCCATAGGACGCACACACATTTCCCCTTCATTTTTGAAGGGGAAAAAGTGCGTCCTATAGGGCTAAAAATACGGTATATAGCTTTGTTTACATGTTTAAAAGATAAATGCCCCACTTTTCTGTCTATTGAAGTAGGTTATGGAAACAATTTTTTAAAAAAATATTTCGATTTAAGTATTTCATCTAATCATAAAACTATAATAGTAATAATACTTTATTAAATTTGTATACTGCCCCATATCCACAGGTCTCAGGGCTGTTACGGCATAAAATCACAATATAAAAATACAAGATACATTAAAAAAAATAACCCCCTTTCCCCAAATGCAAAATCTCAAACAGAAACCACCATTATTACAACATTTACTGGCAAATCCTTCCAAGAATTTGAGTAAATCAAAACTGCTTTCATTTGTCCTATAACTGCATCAAATTAGGCACCGAGAGGGCACGTCCCAGAAGGGAATTCATTCCACTGTTCCATGGTTTGGGTGCTGCAGCAGTGAAGGCCTTCTTGTTGCTGATTGCCTCCCTAACTTCCAAAGGTGTGGAACTCTTTGAAGGAACACCTGTTTTGAAGATCTCACAAAGCGATCAGGTTCATGTAGGAAAGGACGTTCATGGCCTTATCTCTCAGAATTGCCACTTTGAATTGTGTTTGGGAAGCACAAGCCTGTGTTCCAATGATGCACAAAGACATACCATGACTCAGCCCTGGGTAATACAAAAAGAAGAGGACCAACGGAGGAACACAGCAGCCACCATCTTCTGCTTGGTCACCTGCACGTTCACACTAAGCCACAGTTTGGCTTAGCTTTATGTGTGAAGAGAGTCTCTGCGTCATAAAATACCTCCCTAACATTCATCAATTCCCCATCTTTTTGCATTTGTGGAAGTCTTTTTCTTCCACAAATTTCTTTTTCTTCCACAAATTCTTCCACAAAATCCTTTCCTTTTTGCATTTGTGGAAGTCTTAGGAGTAGACCACTATCAGACATCATCAAAACATTTGCATCTCTAACTTGCCTTCCTGTCCTTACCTGAGGGTTGGCTGCCTTTCTGTTTGAATTCTGCACAATCAGGAGGCAACACTTAACAAAGGTCTTGCTGAACTTACAATACTTTGAGTGACAGTATTTATTTTTTAAAACAAAAACCTCTTTTGAAATCCTGTCACATATGCATTTATGTTCAAATTGTAACATGTGGTTTCGGATTAAATTCTCTTCGCCAAGGCACCTGCATAATAAAACACATTTCCTTTAAGAGTTCATGTTTTCAATTATCTGGGGAAATCCCTTGAGAACGCAATACTCATCATTTTGCTGTTGTCTGTTAAATTTGGGGGGTATTCTTTTTTCCCTTCTCGAGATGGTAACATTTCCACCTCTTTTGAACATGGCAGGTTACCATCTATCAATAAGCTGAATGGGAGTGTCATTTTGGAAGGAGAGCGAGAGGACTCGGAGAGGTTTTTTATTCGTTACTACATGGACTTTCCACAAGAGGAAGCCCCTTTCAGGTGAGAACTTCTGATCCCAGAAGTTTTAGAATAGGTAATGAGTTTAAAGTCCTTGAGTCATGTATGTACCATAGTTCCTAGAAACGGTAAGCTGTAAACTGAGATCTCGCCTTTGCCACGTGCTCATAAGATAGCTCATTAGATGCCCTGTCATCAGTGTAGCTATAATAATACTGACCTTCCTTTCAAGGGTGTTGTAAGGATTGCTGAATCTAAAATGCTAGACAAATGTTAAATTGTATGGTTAAAGTGTGAATCATTTATACCATATTGTCACCTTACAGTTTTATGTGGGCAGGATGTGGCTGTTAGTTCTGTGTAGGTGATTGATATTCCCACCTCACTAAGCTGAGCCCCTCCTGAGAAGTCAGCATCCTCTGGAATGGGTTCCAGTCCGTCACTTTGGTGCCAGCACTCAGCGGCTAATCCTCTTGCCATCTGGTGTTCAAGCGCCCTTGAGCTCCAGAGACGTATGTGCCCAAACTGAAAGTGTTTCGATGGCATCGCCTGTGTGCCATTTTCATCCTTCCTTCACAAAGGAGTGAAAACTTGGCCATGCTCCAAGCCATCAGTTGGAATGCCTGGCCACTCGTTGGCACTTTGCATTCCCAAGCACAAGAGCAGTTTTGAAAAGGGTTCCTAGTTCTCTCTCTCTCTCTGGGGCAGAGTCAGGTGTGCAGGCTGACCTGACCGCTGGAAAAAGGTGTGGGGTTAAGAGGAGACGGCAGGAGGCCCAGCTGCAGAGAGGCCACTCCAGCATGGGGGCTGATAGAACTTGGTGGCAGCCTTCTCTAATGGCACCAGAGTGTACTAACCCGCCTAAAGGAATCCTTCAAACACTTTTTTAAAAATGCCACGGTGTGCAACTAGCAGTCCACAGGGCAGCACTTCCTGGAGCAGTCTGTCTTGTAAAAGGGAAGGGGAAAGTCTTTCGAGATCCATAGAAGTGGGTTGAGGGTGGGAACGCAGGCCAGAAGGGATGGAGGAAAAGGGCTGAGGGAGAGCTCTGACTTGCAAAGGGTTCTGTGGCAAAATGTCCTGCTGTGTTTTGAGGCCCTGTTGAGTGGAAGACTGTAGGGTCTGTCTGTGTGACCCCTATGAATAACTTGCTTGGAGAACAATACAGGCCACCTCCCTGTTTACTTGGGGGTTACGTTCAAGTGAAATCGTGTATATTTGAAACACCATTTAAAAAGCCTGCAAACCCACCATCCCTCCCCTTTTAATGACATTTGTGGGTCACTTTCAGGTTCAGCGTGACATGCGAATGCACGGTCGTGCACATACCGGATGGCGCTAAAACAGCCGCTCCCTGTACAAAATATATTGCAACCGTTTCTCCTTGGCTTCTGCATTAACAATCGTACATTCCTCTGGAATGAGGGGGGCATGCTATTGTGAAATGCTCAAATCTGACCCTCTGTGGGGTGTTCCATTTAAGGTTGGGGTGAAACACCTCTCCCCTCGTTTCTCAAAAAGTATGTCCCATTCTTCTCCTGCTTTCCTTGTGTGAGTGGGGAGGAATTCCTCTGAAATTCCCAGGAGTTGTTTGCTGCTTACCTTGCTGGATCTCTCCAGAAAGTGTGGGCAAACAAGAAGACCTGGAGGGAGCGTTGTGACGTTTCCCATCAACCCCACTTCCCAGAATGCTTTGGAGTGATGTGATGTTGCAAGGCATTCTAGGAAGTGCGGCCTTTGGGTACCTACGGAGAGAGTTATCACCCCACATGGCTTTTCTTAATGTTGAAAAGGCAGGGAGGAAATGGCCACTCAGAAGTGGCAATTCCACCCTGAATTTTTTTGATAAATTCTCCTCCCCCACTACCCCACAAAGCAAATCATATTTCCCCCCCCCAGAGGTTTTTGTTTCGCCCTCCCTCACCCACCCAACAAATGGTCAAGAAATATTTCTTTCAACACTTTTCTAGCATCATTGTCATTTTGTGTGTCGATTTTTGCTTCCGTTCTAGAAAGCTGTTTTCTGCCTTTTCCAAAGATGTTTCACGTAGGAAGCAAGGGGAGCTCGGATCCTCCCCCCGCCCACCTGCTCCCCGGTTCATAGCCTTTTAAAAATGCTGCAACCCCTCCCATCCTTCTGTGCTCAATGGCCCTTTTGTCCGAATGCCCTCATCTGTGTGGGGTCTCTAAAAGACTTGTGCGCCCATTGAAAGCTGTTTTTCCGCTCCACAGAGCTAGTGTGCCATTTCAGGGATATCCATGGACGAGGCTGCGCATGGCTGGGGTGGTCTCCCCAGTGACAAGGGTTCAGGTTCCACATCCTAGACCTTTGGCCCATGATCGATGTTCAACCTGTGGTTGTGTACGTTTTCCCCACCCTGCACCCCATTTCATTCTGGGCCTCCCTCTCCAGCCCATATTACAAACAAAAGCCTCTCTCTCTCTTTAGCCCTCCAGTTCTTCCAGGGCTGTGACCTTTACATGAGCAGTGTCAGTCCTCTGCACCTACACACCCAAAACAACGACATTTAATTCATTGGTTGAGTCCTGCATGTGACATACATATAGTGAAATAATAATCACATGCTTTAGTCACATTGTTGAATTTGCAAGAACTTTGGGGCTTGAGGAGTTAAGCATAGCAGCTGTAGTGCAGAAGAACAAATAGCAATGCAGGGCACTGACTTTTTATTCCAGACCACCAAATGACCTGGTTTCTGAGCCAGCAAACAGTGTTCTGCAGAATTGCCTCCTGTGATATGAATCCACAGTAAGCCCACAACTTACATGGGAGCTATGCTTCAGGGATCGACCCTAAAGCAAAAATTGTGTATAGTCAATACACATTGGGTTCAATGGTGGGTGGGGATACTAAAGTCCTTTTTCCTGGATTCCCACCCCCTTTCATTCATTCATTCATTCACTTTGCCAAGCATGCAAAACTTAATGTGCACAAGTTAAATGCATAAGCTGCAGGCTTACTATACTTGATCCTGGAGAACTACTGGGGCCCTGCTCTGCGTCTCCCTACCTACCCTCATCTGCTGGAGGTCGCAAGAGAAAGCAGCTTGTAATAGTGTCGTGCTGTTTTTATGAGATTTGTTTGCTAGATGTTACATATTTGTTTTTAACATTCTTTTAATTTTATTATAGCTTAATTTATTTTTTATTGTTTTTAACATGTTTCTAGCTTACGTGCTTTATCCATGTCTGTTTGAATTTTTGTTAGCCAGTTTGAGTCCTGGTTCTGGAGGAAAGCAGGATGTAAATAAATAAAATAGTAATAGTAATAATATTTTCTGTTTCAGCGCTGAGGTGTTGAAATGCCCCGTCACTGCTCTCCTTTCAATGGGCCCTTTTAAATAGTTATTTAAATTATATCATTTGGTAACATTTAAAATGTTCCTAGGTTTGCTGCTTCAATTTTTTTTAATTCATTTTTAATTCATTTTATTCATTTTCAAAATGAAAGACACTTCATCGTTCTCAGAATTTTGGTTGCAAACAAGATTGCTAGAAACTTGTGTGTGAGGATGCTTTTTTTTTTTAAGGGCCATGACTTGTAGGAAATGCTGATCCAGCACTATGCAGACGTGCTGTTCATATGAAAGCATACATGCTAGGCATGTGAGAGCCAAGCTGAAAATGCGGGAAGCAAAATGTACTGAAAATTGCCATCTTTCTCATTTTGGGATACAGGCCGGCCTTAGAAATTACCTCTCTCAGTAGTTTCAAGCCAAGTTGAAGGAAATCATTCTGTAGCCCCAAGTTTCCAATTCTTCTGCTTCATTTTGCTTTCTTCTTAGCCTGCTTGTTTTTTTCCTATATGGTTTTTGGACCTGGGGACAACAGAAACAGCACCTCTGCTGATTGAGATGTTGTTTCCAAGCACTCTCAAAAGTGCGCTTTCGCCGCACTCCGTATAAGGCAGGCTTTTATCCAGAACTGCTCTGTCGCTTGTACCTCTGCCCTAGTAAAAGGTAAAGGGACCCCCGACCATTAGGTCCAGTCGTGGCCGACTCTGGAGTTGCGGTGCTCATCTCGCTTTATTGGCCGAGGGAGCCGGCGTACAGCTTCCGGGTCATGTGGCCAGCATGACTAAGCCGCTTCTGCCAAACCAGAGCAGCGCATGGAAACGCTGTTTACCTTCCCACCAGGGCGGTACCTATTTATCTACTTGCACTTTGATGTCCTTTCGAACTGCTAGGTTGGCAGGAGCAGGGACCGAGCAACGGGAGCTCACCCCGTCGTGGGGATTCTATACAACCACAGAAGCAGTTGGGGGGGGCATGCTGTGTTAAGCCGTGGAAGCTGCTACAATATTATAATACTTTATTACAAAGTGCTTGGTGCAGGTAGAAGTGTTGAAAAGCACTCTGGGAATCTTCCCCGTTAACTTTCCCCACTACAGTCATAGGCGACGGCTCCTTTTCCGAAAACGCATATCTTCCTCCATCTTTGCCAAGTAATAGTTTCCCATGCGGGCCGATCCTATCTGCCGATTTGCAATAGCAGGCACAGCTGCCTCTGCTGGAGCCTTCCGCTCTGATAAAGGCCGTTTGTGTCCAAGATGCTGGGGAAATCATAGCGCACTGCGTCGGTTACCTCATCCTCCGGGCAGACAGAGGCTTCGCTGTTGAGAGAGCATTCCTACATTTAACATGAGTCCCTCGGGGGGCCTCCCTCTTCCGTTGCCAGGCTCCATCATCCTCTTGACAGGAGCAGTGACACAGCAGCGATCACGTTTAAGCCCCCGAGCCGGACAGGAGACAAAAGGAGCTTTCAGTCCCGGGCATCGTCTGGAGACTCTGAAATGTTACCTCCTCTCAGCCGCTCTTTGTCTTTGTTATTTCAATTACCTTGTGCTTCGGGTTGACTTTTTGCCACTTTCCCAGCCCCGGCAGAAGAGACTCTGCCTCCTCATTACCAATCGGAGAGATACCTGAAGTGAGGGCGATGGGAGGGGAGAAGCGAGGAAACACTGATCTCTCTCTCTCTCTACCCAGGAGCCCAGAACAAAAGAGCATCTCTGGGAAGATGGTGAAACTTGCTGAGCAGGTTCATGACTGTCCAGGCAGACACAGCTCTCGTCTTTTCCCCTTCGCTCCTGATTTTTTTTGGGGGGGGGGGCACAGATGCCTTGATGGCATATTTGACGGCGGAATGAAATGCAGGGCATTTGCCTAGATCAGAGTGCAAAGTAGGGGAAAGTCATATTAACAGCTGCTAAAGCAACGTTAAACCATGTAGCCTTTTCACTTTGAAAGAATTAGGAGGAGAAGGGCTGATCTCTGCATGTCCAGTGAGAGCAGGAGGCGAGGCTCTCTCACTGCTGCATCCTCACTTGGGTTATGTGCCTGCCTACTAGTACGGAAGCTGTACGCCGGCTCCCTTGGCCAATAAAGCGAGATGAGCACCGCAACCCCAGAGTCGGCCACAACTGGACCTGATGGTCAGGGGTCCCTTTACCTTTTTACTAGTACGGCAAAGAACTCTTGGTCACTAGCAGCGCTGCTAAGGTGGAAATTCAGGAGCCGCAAGGCTCTGTGTGCCTGTTGCTGTTAGAATGTTCCATCAGCAGCAACCAGCAGGGCTTTGAGCTTGCTTACCATAAGAGAGTCCCTCTGAACAGTGAAAACAGCGAGTTTCAGCAGTGCTATGCACAATCACCACTCTGGGCTTGCCCCGAATCTTACAGTCCTCTCACTGCATGGGTCAGTTCCAAGAATTCCAGTTAATTTACTTAATGACACAAAATAACATATCAGGAAGTTTTAATGCTTAATGTTTTACTGCGTGTTTTATATATGCTGTAAGCTGCCCAGAGTGGCTGGGGAAACCCAGCCAGATGGGCAGGGTATAAATATTATTATTATTATTATTATTATTATTATTATTATTATTATTATTATTTATTCCAAGAAACGCTTCCTAAAAGTTGTAGCAGGGAAATTCATAAAATTGAGAGCATAGAAGTGACAAGTCCATTGGCTTCTGCATAGTTTGGAGGGTCCAGTTCTAGATTCTGGACCCTTTTAAAAATTCAAAATGATGTAAATCCAGTGTACCTAAAGGATTATCTCCTTTCACTCAAACATTCTTGTTCTTTAAGTTCATCTTCAGAAGTTTAAGAGTCCCCTCACAATTTGAGGAACAGTGAGTAATACCTTTCCCCCATAGTGGACTCTGGGGTGCTGAAATGTCCCTCCTAAGGGTTTCTTGGTCCTCTTTGCTGTTGGTCCCTTCTGGCAGCAAACAAATAATTTTTCCTTTCTTCTCCCCACAAGGTTATTTGAAGCTGCTGTAGTGGGATTTCTCTTCCTCTTGTTTTTATCAGTTCCTCTGCTGTTCCAGTGATTTTTGCTTTAATTTTAAGCTTCTGTTTTGTGTTTTATGCATCTAGCCTCCTTGAAGGGCTTTGATGCAAGAATTATTTTAATAAGGCAACTGCGTAGCCAAGAGCACTGAGTGCGGGGATTTGTGGCACCGGTTGTAATGCCCGTCTTTTTCTCTCTCAGGTATCATGAGCTAGTGACGAAATACGGTAAGTTGGAAAAGCTGGCGGTGGTGGACTTGCGGCCCCAGAGCAGCGCCAAAGTCGAGGTTCACTTCAGAGACCAGGTGGAGGAGATGACCATACGCCTGGATCAGACGGTAGCAGAACTAAAGAAACAATTGAAAGCGTTGGTCCAGCTCCCGACCAGCAACATGCATGTCACTTACTTTGACCACGAAGCTCCTTTCGGCCCCGAGGAGATGAAGTACAACTCGCGGGCCCTGCACTCTTACGGCATTCGGGATGGAGATAAAATCTATGTGGACTCCAAAGCCAAATAGCCCGCCCCCATCTCCAGGGGGTTCACGGCCACCTCATGTACACAAATTGAGGACTTTCTGGAAGTGGGGGGATTCGTTTTGGTTTGTCGTTTGAGGTTTGGTTTTCTATACGTACCAGGTAGCTTCTCCAGCAGGCCCAGATCCGCGAGAGGTGTGCTGCGACCCAGTGCAGATTGCGGTGGCGGCGAATTGTTAAGAGGAGGTGACTGACTTCAAGCGTGTGTGTGCGGCTTTTCTTTGGTTTCTCCCCAACTGCTCCAGTATTCCTGTGAACTTAGCATGAAAGTCTTTCTTCAAAGCTTTAAGAGGGTCCTTGCAGTCACTCAAGTCGGGGAGCTCGGGCTTTCAGGCCATACACAGGGTACGTGTTGAAAAGGTTTTGTGTGGCTCAGTAGCCGGGCTCCAATTACAAGTGGCAGAATTGGTGCCCCTTCACCTGGGTGGCCTCTCAATCTCTTTGTTCCCGGAGGGTTAGGTTGGAAGGGGGGTGTTCTATAAGCAGTGTTTTACTAGACTTTGGTCTACTGGATATCCAGTGCCCTTCTGGATTTCACTTAAGCTGAAGGAGATCAAAACTTTGACAGGGGTTGACATGTGCGCCTGCACACACACACACTGCGGCTTGCAGGGCACTCTGCTAAATCACAATCACTTGCATAACCTTTTTGGCTTGCTGACTCTCAAGGGTGTCGTAGGGGCCAGACTAAGTGCAGATAGTGCCAGGCATTTAAATGGGAGCCTCTTTGTCTCATGGGCAAGTTCATGTTGGTCACCCGGTCATGTGTTCGATCTGTTTCGTGAAGGCTCGCTCTCCACTGCTGAGATACCTCTCTCAGCTTGCAGGCAGCTCTTAATGGACTGTCACCATCCTCACTGTGGCTGAAGAACCCTAAAACCCTTGCATTTAAAAAAAACAACAGAGCATTCTTTTATCATACCCTTCTTCCAAGGAGCTGTGGGTGAGGTACATGTTTCTTCCCCCCCACACACAAAAAAAATCTTTTTTTCTTTTATAATAACCCTGTGGGAGAAAATGGCTCTCTCAAGGTCACCCAAGGAGTTTTACAGCTAACTGGCAATCTGAACCTGAGTCTCTCAAATCCAAGACCTATGCTAAGCTGCAACACCGCAGTGGAAACCAAAGGCCAGGCCTTCCTCCCCGCCCAGCGTTTGCTCATAAATTAGCACTTTTTTAAAGCCAACGCAGAGATGCAACAGAAGTACAGGTCCTCTGAGGTCCCTGGGGTCCTGTCTCTGCATGAGTCAGTCTTCTAGCCTTGCCTTTTACCACTTGAAAGGTGTATTGGAGTGGTGAGTTTTGCGGGGCCGCCACAGGTGAGCTCCTCTTACACGCCGTAGAAGCAAGCCCACCGCCCACCCCCAAATCTTGTGAGAAGGGGCACATGCACAATTTACTGAGGAGTATAGGAAACTGTCATAAAGAGTAAAAGGCCACCCCCTGTTCTTGGAGATGTCTTCTACCCACTTTCGTGTAGCTCAACATCATATTTATGATTCTTAGGGGGGGGGGAATCTATCTTTCTTTTTTTGAAGAATGCTTGCTTTGTAAATCAGGCAGGGCTCTCTCCCTCAGCAGTGCCCTTCCATGCTCATCTGTCAGCTTGACAAGTTGAAAACTGGAGAATCGCTCAGTTTTACACATGTACATTTAAAGGAGGGGAGGGAGGAAGTGGGCTTCCCAGCGCCGCCGCCCCCCCCCAGCAGTGTCGCTAAGCTCTTGTTACCCATAAACTTTTGACCTTCCTTACTTAGCTTCTCATGCAAGGTTTCTTTCCCATAATTCCTCTGTTCTCTGGTGGGAGGGCTTCTTTTTATATACGTACATCTATCCCAGAGTTTGTGCATTTTCTTCCCCTGCGGTGTGCAAAACAAAATCCCAGTAATCTTATTTTTATTTATATTTATGGTAAAAGTCTTGCCTGAACGCCAAGCGTAGAAAAGAGGGCAGGATTTTTTAAAAAATGCAAATCTCCTCTCCTATGACCATATAAAGATGAGCAATATAGAGCAAAACAAGGCTTGCATGTGGAATGTGGTAGTCCATTCTCTTTTATTTCACTGACTCCAGTAAGAAATAATTACCTATGTATTATGTGGAGTCATTCCAGGACATTGTGTTGATGAACTGGCACTGGGCTTTATAAGCTGAGACAGAGCTGAGGTTCTTTCCTGTCCATTTGGGTAGCAAAGCTCCAAACCAACGCTTTGTTTATGATGTGTGTGTGTGGGTATATGTATCTATGTATGTATATTTACACATAACGGGAAATGGCAATGTTAATAAGATATTTTATTATAAAGCAAAGTTTTATTGAAAGATAAGGTTGTGTAATAATATTAGATTATTATTTTATCTGTGGACCTACTGTATGAAGTATGTTAGCCCCGTAATCTGGGCCGCTGAAAGACTTTAGACTGTAAAGAAGTGGCCATTTGGGTTGTGCAGAACAGTATTTCCCATCTTCCTCCTGCCCATCTCCAAGCCCAATATTTATACAGTAGTAACAGGAATTTAATGAAATATTTGTAACTGGTGGACATCCGACTGCACAGGTGTCTGTGTCTTAGAAGGAAACATTCCACATATTAAAAGTTTATGAAGGCATTCACTGAAGAACCATGTATGTGTTTCTGTTATCAAAAGAGACTGTTATCTCAACCGTGTCTATGTGTGCCTGTGAGAGAGATACCCAAACTTGTGTGAACGCTGCACATAATTTAAAGGGGGGAGAAAGAGAATGGAATTTTGCAGCTTGTATAATTTATGCAAATCAAGCAAGTTTTGCATGTGTTTACATTATTCTGCTAGTCATGAGGGAGAAGGAAGGGGAAGCAAGACTGTCCTTGGCCATCTCTCTTCTGAGACTCCAGCTGTGCGTTTCCATTCGGAAAAGCTAGAAACTTTTTTTTTACTGCTTGTTTTCCTTGGTACCTAGTGCAATGTTCTGAAGGTGTTCAGCACTTGTGCAAAACCCATGTTGTTCTGGAAAAACCCTCCAAGATTGAGGGAAGCAGTACAGTGGTACCTTGGTTCTCAAACTTAATCCGTTCCGGTAGTCCTTTCCAAAACCAAGACGTGCTTTCCCATTGAAAGTAATGCAAAATGGATTAATCCGTTCCAGACATTTTAAAACAACCCCTAAAACGGCAATTTAACATGGATTTTACTATCTAACTGACACCATTGATCCATAAAATGAAAGCAATAAACAATGTACTGCAGTCACACCTTCAGTCAATCAGAACTGGGTTCCACACAGTCACAAAAACAAAACAAAAAGCCGCAAAAACAAAAATGCAAAATAAATAGCAAAAACAGACAGACCTAAGTATAACACTCAAAATGGAAGCGTGGCACTCAAATCGGAAGCATAACACCCAAAACGGAGCACGTTTGGCTTCCGGGAAAAGTTCACAAACCGGAAGACTTCCAGGTTTGCAGTGTTTGGGTTCCAAGTTGTTTGAGAACCAAGGTACCACTGTAATCTTAAAGTTTTGTTGTTTAACCAGATGGTTGCAAGGTGGGAGAAGGTTTAGAAAAAGGGAGTAAGCTTCATGTAACACTAGCCCTCTCAAACACACACACACACACACCCTGCCCAGATGTAATTTCTTTGGCAGGATTAACATGGTAAAGCTAGTGGACCATTATAGTTTGCAAATGGCACCAATCCCACAAGACAGCATTCTCCAGCTATCCACATCCTGCACACGGCACTGAACATGCACTTTGGTGGTGTTGTTTTTTTAAAAAAATGCACCCCCAAAAAGGAGAGAAATTGTGCACATCCTTGCCATGCTTTGATTGTGGAACTGCACAAAATGTTTACAACCAGTACTGATGATGCCATATTGGAGTGTCTCTGTGTGAAGTTCTTCAGTGGAGGCCAATCTTGGTGTTTCGTTGAAGAATATATGTGCGACAGCCACTTCATACAATAGCACCCACCCGACAAACAGGCGAGCGCACTGTTGCATAAAATAAAAGGTAAAGGTACCCCTGCCCGTACGGGCCAGTCTTGCCAGACTCTAGGGTTGTGCACTCATCTCACTCTATAGGCCGGGAGCCAGCGCTGTCCGCAGACACTCCAGGTCACGTGGCCAGCGTGACAAGCTGCATCTGGCAAGCCAGCGCAGCACACGGAACGCCGTTTACCTTCCCGCTGGTAAGCGGTCCCTATTTATCTACTTGCACCCGGGGGTGCTTTGGAACTGCTAGGTTGGCAGGCGCTGGGACCAAACAACGGGAGCTCACGGAAACGCCATTTACCTTCCCGCTAGTAAGCGGTCCCTATTTATCTACTTGCACCCGGGGGTGCTTTCGAACTGCTAGGTTGGCAGGCGCTGGGATCGAAGGACGGGAGCACACCCCGCCGCGGGGATTCGAACCGCTGACCATGTGATCGGCAAGTCCTAGGCGCTGAGGTTTTACCCACAGCGCCACCCGCATCCCCGTTGCATAAAATGGCTATCGTTTAAATATCGTTAAATTTAGGGACGCGGGTGGCGCTGTGGGTTAAAGCCTCAGCGCCTAGGACTTGCCGATCGAAAGGTCGCGGTTCGAATCCCCGCGGCGGGGTGCGCTCCCGTCCTTCGGTCCCAGCGCCTGCCAACCTAGCAGTTTGAAAGCACCCCCGGGTGCAAGTAGATAAATAGGGACCGCTTACTAGCGGGAAGGTAAACGGCGTTTCCGTGAGCTGCGCTGGCTCGCCAGATGCAGCTTGTCACGCTGGCCACGTGACCCGGAAGTGTCTGTGGACAGCGCTGGCCCCTGGCCTCTTGAGTGAGATGGGCGCACAACCCTAGAGTCTGTCAAGACTGGACCGTACGGGCAGGGGTACCTTTAAATATTATTGATGAATTGCCTTTCTAAACAGCCATCTCAAGGTGGTTTTCAAACAACCATCTGCAGGCAAATGTATATGTGCAATAAGTTAAATAGCATGAACGGGAAGAATGGCTTGCTTGATGGAAACATTCTGAACCATGAACATCATTTCCAGCATGGACACCTCCACCCTCTTTAAGAATTGCAGCTTTCATTTCTTAAGGAAGCAAGCTTATAGTTCTCATCAGTGTTTGGCGCCTGCAGAAAGCTCCATGCCTTAAAGAGGAGTTTCTGGGCGGCGTGTTATAAAAGTCACCAGAAGGAGGGGAGGCTTTTGCTGTTCATATATTGTTTTTCCTTTTCCCCCCAAATCTCAAATCGTTTCCAACTCCCAATCTTCCTCTTTGCAATTGGAATTAAATTTCCCAGTTCGGCATAAGTAGCACTTCCCTGAAATAACCGGGCAGCTATTAAATGGCATGCCCAGAGTGGGTAAACCCATAGAATGGGTTGTACCCTATATTATCCCTACTCCCTGTGAACCTATTGAAGTTAATGGAGAAAACTGAGCCATGAATTTTAGTGGGTTTGCTCTTGATAGAACTTTGATAAAACGCACTACCATTGCTTCATATTAACATTTCTAATCCTCTCTGGGAGCTTTGTTTTGCTTTTTTGCTTTTTTTTTTTTTTTGGCCGATGAGAGGTATTAAAAATTCTTTTAAATCAATAATGAATTGTGTAAATTACCTACAACATTTAACAGGTTCGTGCTGAACTTGCGGGATTTGAATGTGCTAGCTTCAGAACTCGGGGAACTGTTGTCTCTGGTACCAAGCCATAGCAAATGAGAAGTGATCTGTATGTGGTTCTAAGAAATATGGCCTTAAGGAGGCTTGTTGGTCTACAGAACTTGAAGGAAACCAATTTCTGTGCATGCTAGACCCAAATTTAGCATTCAGAATAAATTATACAAATTATCTAACCTGTATCTTAATTCTTCTATCCTTAAGTTGCGCAAATAAGTTGGATCCCCCCCCCTTGTGGAATTCTGGGCTAAAACTGTTTATTGGGGGGAAATATATGGGATTTATTTATTTTTTTGTCCTCATGATAGAAGTTGGGCTAAGAATTTTTTAAAAAGTTAAAGAAGAGAATTAAAAGGTTGTGAAGTGAGCACAGAAGCCCAAACTGCTGAAAATGTTGCATCTTCTCTGGCTGTTCATCTTCAGTGAGACAAGAATGCCGAAAAAGTGAAGTGAGGAAGTTGGAGGAACTTGTAACAAAGTTCATATAATGTTGCCCCATAAGCAAATATTTGCTGATTTAACCTTTAGGCACATAACTGTCTATATAGTGCTGGTTTCAAAAGAAGTTTGGTGGTCCTAAATCTCCCTAGATAGCACCTACCATTTTCATGCTCCAAAACGTCCAACCATGGTGGTTTGGAACTTCTCAGCACTGACATTCTTAGATTGCTGAACTCTGCAACACATGTGCCACTGGTGTGCAGGCTGCGCATGACCCCCTGGGTATAAATGATAAAGGTAAAGGGACCTCTGACCATTAGGTCCAGTCATGACTGACTCTGGGGTTGCGGCGCTCATTTTGCTTTACTGGCTGAGGGAGCCAGCGTACAGCATGACTAAGCCGCTTCTGGCGAACCAGAGCAGCTCACGGAAACGCTGTTTACCTTCCCGCCAGAGCAGTACCTATTTATCTACTTGCACTTTGAGGTGCTTTCAAACTGCTAGGTTGGCAGGAGCAGGGACCGAGCAACGGGAGCTCACCCAGTTGCGGGGATTCGAACCGCCGACCTTCTGATCGGCAAGTCCTAGGCTCTGTGGTTTAACCCACAGCGCCACCCACGTCCCTCTATATTTATACCTATGTATAAATGATACATATCCCTAAAAAGCAGAAGCCATATCACAGTTGTAACTATAGCGAGGGGTGTGGGGAAAAAACACAGGTCAATTATATAACATATATCATTTTAAAACTAGTAATGGTTTTTCAATGGGACGCGGGTGGCGCTGTGGGTAAAAGCCTCAGCCCCTAGGACTTGCCGATCAAAAGGTTGGCGGTTCGAATCCCCGCGGCGGGGTGCGCTCCCGTTGCTTGGTCCCAGCGCCTGCCAACCTAGCAGTTCGAAAGCACCCCCGGGTGCAAGTAGATAAATAGGGACCGCTTACTGGCGGGAAGGTAAACGGCGTTTCTGTGTGCTGCGCTGGTGCTGGCTTGCCAGATGCAGCTTTGTCACGCTGGCCACGTGACCCGGAAGTGTCTCCGGACAGCGCTGGCCCCCGGCCTCTTGAGTGAGATGGGCGCACAACCCTAGAGTCTGTCAAGACTGGCCCGTACGGGCAGGGGTACCTTTACCTTTACCTTTTAATGGTTTTTCAAGAACCTGCTACAGCATCTGCTGGTCCATCAGACTGTGTGCTAATTTAATCAGACATTGTTTGCTAATGCTGCCATATAGACTTGCCATAGATCCTTGAGTTGCAATCCTGTGCCCACTCACTGGGGACCAAGTCCGATCAAACTCAGTAGACACGTACAGGATCACACAGTTGCTGTAGCAATTCTGGCCATCTAGTTTAAATACAGGAGGAGATGGGATTGAGCAAAAGTGGAGCACCCGGGATGGAAGTTATTTCAGTATGCAGGATCACCTTTGGAGGTTGGCATGGCAAGAGCTTCCTGACTTCGGCTGTGGCTGCTCTTTCTCTCTGGCTTGGATTAAGCGGCTTAAACAGGAACGATGAGAAGCAGCTGTTGCT